ATTTGTCAGGACCTTCAAGAGAGAAAATTCCTGATTCTCTCTTAATGACACATAGTGACTGGCTTATGATTCTGTTTAAAGAACACTGCCATGCTTAACTCACATTCTCTCAGCACACATTTTCAGTTGGGCAATTTAATAATTCCTCATTTTTCTATGTATGTTCTATGTAAGATCTAGCTACCTCCTTACGGCATTACAGACTGAAATGGTCACACCTTCCTATCTTGACTTCCTTGCTAGTTCTGAAGTGACATTTGTATTTCCTGCCCACCCCACATGAAGGAAACAAAGGTTAGCAATTTCTCTAAATGCAAAAGGAGAGGAAGATAATTCTGACATAACAATATAATTGCCACTGAATCCACAATTCTATTATCTCTTAGGAAATTTTCCCACAATGAAGCTGCCTTATAAAAAGAAATAGCCCTAGTTAAAATGTTCCCAGTTTTTCAACCCTATGATTATCTGTTGGATTTTGAAATTACATTTGGTGACCTTAAAGATATCCTTAAAGAGTTTTTAGGGATTGCTGGAAGAGTTAATCTCAAGCAGTTCTGCCATGGTTAAAAGTAAATTATGTCTGATAATGAGACAACTTCCCCATGTTCTACTAAAAACAAACATTTTAGGTGACATTTAATAAACAGCTAAAATGTATCTATGAAGAATAATATAAAACTTATACATAAAGACACAGGTAGCATACTTTTAGGCTCCAACTCTGCTTGCTAGGATCTGATCTGGTTCCCAGAGCAGACTCTGGACTCTGAAGGATGGCAAGAGGTTATAAGAGAAGCCTGGAGATGTGCTTCTGTGTTGCATGACCAGTAGCATTCATAAAATACAATCCCCTGGCCTGCAGCCTCCCTGGTGCCTGGGACAAATGATAGCAGACACTGATTCCTGAAGGGCTGTTCTGCCGACTGCTCAAAATGAAGTGAGCATACATCTGCCATCCGGGAGGGTGAGACCCTGAGACAGAAGAGTGAAGGATATACTGTAATTGTTTAAATCAAATTGACCGGTAATTAGACCACAAAATTTGCTATATATAGAGGGCTGGGGATCTAGCTAAGTGCACAGGTGCCTGCCTGGTAAGCATGAGGTCATGAGTTCGATGCCTGGTCTACTATAGTTGGGACAAGTGTAGTAGAGTATGCCTATATGTCTAGTACTTGAGAGGCTGAGGAAGGAGGCCTGCTGTGAGTTCAAGGCCAGCCTGGGGTACATAGTGAGTTTAAGGTCAGCCTGGGTACATACACATAGCTGGACGCCATCGAAAAACCCAAAACAACCTCCTCCAAACAAACACACATGAAAACAAACCCCCCAAAACAAATATTCCTGGTTTTGTACCTAGGGAAGAAACTACTTACCGAAACTAAAACAAGGCACAAAATCTGAAAACACTGAAAGTGATACTATCACTCGTAGTGTTGGAACAAAATTAGTGTGACTTAAGGCTCTAAAGAATGGTATTTTTCTATACATTACAACACAGGTGTAATGATCTAACCTTTTTGGCAGAATAGGAACCGTGTCCCAGGAATCTTTAGAATGTATTCAAATTCATTTTTCCCACCTCTTTTGTAGTACTGGGGATTAACTCAGGGCCTTCACATTTAGCTACTTCTCCTTGTTAAGTGCTAAATTATCCAGACTGGGCTTGAATTTGCAATCCTCCTGCAGCTTTGTAGAGTACAGGGATTACAAGCGTGTGCCACCAACTCTGGCTGTATTTACATTCTTTAAGTAACTCCCTGAGTACCTATTTGTAAAAAGAAAACCAAACAACCTACAAAGACAAACAATACACGATGGGAGGCAAAGGTTCTAGTATCTGCCCTGGAGTGAAGGGTGGAGTTCAAAGAGCTTCTTGGTTTTTGAAGCCAAGTCCACTATTGTTGTGACAGCAAGAAATGACAGGATACTTCATAACATTTGAAAGGAAAGGAAAACAAAGTCAAAAGAAAGGGATTAAAGCCAGGCTCAAGACATAAAATGTATAATAGACCGCACTGTTGAGTCCAGAATTTTAATAATACTGGAAACTTTTTTATATCATCGTGAAATAGCTTCAAATTGCTGGGATCTTGCTTCCCTATGTTCAACCCCAGCTCCTTTGCTGCAGTGAATAGTATGGCTGCCTGCCAAGCTGTGAAGTTTGAGAATAAACATACAGAGAAGCCTAATACTGGGATTCTTTATGTTGGTCTTAGGAGTAGCCTGGGACCTGCTGGGACCTGTGATTTGGCTGCTACCTTGAGGGCTGCAAGAGCAGAGGGTCCTGGGGATAGGGTCCAGAGTGGACACACAGAGGGGGCAAATGAAAAAGCTGAGCTGCGGGGGTGCACACCTAGCCAGGAGGCCGGCCAACTAGGAGGAGCCAGGAAGATGTCAGAACTCACCTTCACTCCTTTAGCCTTGGGTCTCTAAAACATTCTTTTTCAATTTCTAAAACAGCTCACGGACAGGGTAAAAATAAAGAAAAGCCCCATAAAACATTCAGGAAAAAGTTAATAATCACTCACAAACTTCCCTTTCCAAAATAACCACTAGAGAACATTGTAATGTGCTTTCTCCCTAAGTGTACTTTAAAATAAAGATTTGCATCCTACGGTATAAAATATCTTATAATGCACTTATTCAGCTTACATAATAGTTATATCAAAAATTCCATACATGGTGTTGCATGCCTATACTCCCAGCAATCAGAAGGCTGATGCAGGAGGATTGCTGTAAGTTTAAAGGGAGCCTGACCTACATAATCAGACCCTGACTTAAAAACAAAAACAAAAAAGCAAACAAGCAAAAAAGACAAAACATGAAAAACAAACAAACAGAACAAAACAAAAGCAACAACTAAAACTCACCTAAAATCCACACCAACAATACTGCAAACGTAAGCAAAAGCTTACTGAATGCCTTCCCACATACCCAAGTCCATTCTTATGACCAGATGACCTGGTTCATCTGGAAGACTTCACACATGAGTGAGTTTGAAGAATGGGAGGATTTTTGAGAGGTACAGACAAGGAAGACATCCATTTGAGGAAAGAGACAGCAATAAATGTGTGGAGGCAGGAAGACCCAAGGGAATACACAAACTTGTGTGACACACAGAGAGAACTGGGCACCAAGGAAAGGCCTTGACAACCAGGCTATGGGCTGAGAACAAAGAGAAGGATAACAAGGACAGAGACGTAAAGAAAAAGGTGGACAAGTTCCCTGCTGTGGTGGGAAAGTGGTTAGTAGTATCTTTGGAGGGAGGACAACTTTCGAGTCAGTCACTGAGTGTAAAGCTGGAAGTTTGGACAACTTTTTCACACCAAGAAATCATGCTGTAAAAGGACAATAGTACCGGGGTTAACATGGTTCATAGCAAGTTTTCTTCTAAGACAGCAAACAAGTGAGGCTTGGAGTTAGAGACATCTCTTCTGTGACATGAATAAGCAAGCTAAATACAAGATGAGTCTCCTTGGACTAAACTTCAGAACTCTAGAATGCTTCAAACTCTGAAACTCTTTGAGTCTTGATATAACACTTAAAAGGTTTTGGGTTTAGGAGCAGTCTGAGTTCAGAGTTTTGGACAAGGGTTGTTCAATCAATAAAATCTATAGGAATATTCCAGAACCTGAAAAACTTCAAAGCAAGAAACTGTTCTGGTCTCTAGTAGTTTGGATAAGAGACACGCAACTTGTCCTGGAAAAGATGAGGGTACTTCCAGTGATCTTCCCTGTCTCCCTCTGTGTGCTGAGGGTGGCACATGGGCCCTCAAGCATGCAAGTCAAGCACTCTATCATTAAGCTACACTGTCCCCAAACTGCTTAAAAAGAGAGGACAGATCATCTCCTAACAGAGAAGAGGAAGTAGGGACTTACAGGATATTAGTGAGGGGACAGCACAACTACAGAATAACCCTGAGTGATCAGTGCAGGCTGGAAAGCATGACTCTGGAAGGAGGGCAGTTAATGGTGGCATACAATCTTCCCTTGAACACTGAATTCCGAGGGCACCTTCTCTACTGGAAAGGAATGAAAGGCTAGATAAGGCTGAAGGTCCTGTGAGAACAACAGTCAGTACTGTATACTTTCCACATGATAGAAGGAGGCTTAAGGCGACCTATCAGACAGGTGGGGGTGGCAAGGGATATGCGGATACACTAGAGGTGTTTCTTTAGGGAAAATCAGGGAAGGAATGGTGGTCTTCATTACATATGTGCAAATACTGTGTAGTTGAGAAGTATTCATAGAATAAACCAGTTGACTGAAATAAACACAGATTTTGATAATCCATTTTCTTATTTCAGAATTGAACAATTTAAAAACAAAGAGAAAAATGTATCAACTTTAGAAATAATCTGACAGCTGAGTCTTCAGTGAGCACCAAGACTGGAGGGCCATAACACAGCAAGGTTTGGCTGGTTGCCACTTAGCAGTTTACTCCTTGTATGGGGAGGACTGGCTTAGGTTAATGGTGCAGCTTAGATTACCCAAACGCATTTAGGTTACAAACTACACAGTAGGTAGAGTAGTGAGCCACAGAAAAAGGGCGCCTCCCACAGAAGAGGTACGAAGAATATGTGTAAATATCATCAAAACACAGGAAGACGATTTACATCAGGAAGACGTCTACCTTTCTTTCCCAAATCCTTATAAAACTATAAGTCTGTATGGCACATGTCAAAACTAGTAGCTATAAATTCTCAAGTGCATAAACAAGGCTTTGAATTTTTAATTACGCAATATACTGGAATGTTAATAAGCAAGAAAATGCAGCAGGCTTTTTTTTTTTAACCCTATAGAATTAGAGTTAATCACTTGGACACTGCAACTTAATGATGTATGATAATTTGAGAAGATGCAAGACCTTAAAGTTAAAAGCTGTTACCAAACTTTTTACTCTAAAATCTAGATGTCATAAATATTTTACATTAAGGGTTAAAAGGAAGAAGACAACTACAAAATTAACAAAAGAAAAAGAAGTACACACAATACCTCTGGATTCATTATCCCTTCTTTTTTAAAACAGCTATAAAACATGTCCATGGAAAATACTTCGCTCCAAAGATATCCATAATACTGGCCATCATATCCTCCTGCCAAATGTCCAAAAGTAGCAGGCATATTTGTGCCTTTAAAAGAACATACATTTCAATCAATGTGAGAGCAAGTGTTAATTACCAGGTTCTCAGCTAGCTAAGATTTCTCTTTAAGGACTCTGTGGGAGGAGAGAGTGAATGATAGGATCTCACCTCTGGTACTTGGGTTATGTGTACCCTTGGCCAAGATGTTTACACAACTCTCAGCCTTACAGCTGGTTTCTGCCTAAGCTCAGGAATGCCTAACAATAGTTTCAGAGGCTTTGTTCACACCCACCAGGTAGTTTGGTATTCTGTCAGTCTTTTTTAACCCTTAAATATCTAGGTGTTTTAAATCACTCTAAGACTGTACTAACCACACTCTTCCACTTTTTTTTAGGTGCTGAAGACTGAATCCCAGACCTTATACCTGCTAGGCAAGTGCTCTACCACAGAGACATGACTCCTAGCCCTTTGGCACCATTTAACTATCTAAAATGTCTCAGAATAAAATGGCACTTGTTCTAAATGAGTTCTGAAACAAAACTATTTGAAAAGCAAAATGATTTTACCAAGTCAAACTATCTTCCAGGCTACCTTAGGAAGGGGTGTGTCCAAATGGCTTAAAGAGTTGCTCCATGGCTTAATATAAATAGGTTACCAAAGGAGGTGAGGAGGCTACAGAGACTCAAATGACTATCTTTATCTTTATTATCTTTATAAATATAGCTGATTCATTTTATAACAATTTTCTCAGTAAAAAAAAGTCACCTTACCAACTACCTACAAATACAGAAATACACATATACTAATGAATCCCATAAGCTTCAGGCTAGAAACTGGCAGTTAAATGTAACTGATTTCAGAATCAGAAACAAAATTCATACTTCTGTCTCAAATTTTCCCTCCTGCTACCTTCTGACTGAAAATCAGAAGGAAGTCCCAGTGCATTCAGGCAGGGAGGGGCCAGGAGGTGCTGACAAGTTTTGTGAAAGGCTCTATCAAGGGAGCAGGCCAGCTGCTCATGCCTGGTTACACTAAAATACTGTGAATCTGGAACCACCTTTTCTTCCAGTGCATTTGGACAGGATACCTTGTGAGGGGATAGTATGCTTATCTGAAAGACATGGCCTGATCACAGAAATCAGAAAGAAGCAAAATTGGGCCTGAGTAACTCCATTACCGCTGTAGTGTTAGAAGTACTCCCTATGCTTCACAGGAAAAAGGAGCTCAAGAGTTGCAGAATTTACGAACCTGGAGTAGCTGCGATACCTAAAATTTCTGTGCAATATTTGGCATATTCACTGGCAGCATCCAGTGATGGGTTGGTGTGGAGAGACTGATCAACTTTGCTCAAGACAATCTGGCGCAGAGTCAGAAGACCTAGTAACATAAAAATGAGCACATTTTGAAGACAGAACCATATGACCTAATGTGACAAGATCACAGATTTCAAAAACCAATTTCAGTAGAACTCACCATAAAGTGAGGATCAAGACATCGCATAACGTTTACAACTTAAAAGAAAAATTTTTTTTCTTAGATACATCCCAGAATTTTTTGTTCCAATATACTTAGCACGCTTTCTTCTACTTATTAGCACTCATGGGGCACCATTATCATTAAAGGGAAAATAAGGCTTCTATGAAAAGCAGCCATCCATTTTACATTAAGAAATACTCATTTCTTTTTCTAAATTTAGAAGTCATACCTGTGTTGACCAGTCTAGAAGCAACAAGCTTTTCAAGCAGATCGTCTGTAATAGGACTTCCATCTTTATAATGCTTTGACAGTCTCCTGAGGGAATCAATGTCCCACACCCAATTTTCAAGCATTTGTGATGGCACCTCTACGAAGTCAGTTTCTACATTTGTTCCACTAAATCGTGCAAAATCAGTCTAGAAAGGAAACAAAGGTATTTTTTAAAGCACTGAATGAAAATATGTGATGAAATATAATTAAAAGCTCACTTAAGGCAAAACCAGACAACTGTGCTTTTGAATAAGATGTTAGAATATTCTCAAGAAAAGGTAAAGTACAAATACAGCATTCAAATAACACAAAAATCAACTTTCCAAATACTCCATATTGAAGTACTATTTTTTTTATTACAAACAAATGTGGAAGAATCAACAAGAAGTCCTAACTTTAAAAAAAAATCAGTCTAAGCTAACAAGCTTTAAAATTTGAAAGTAAATGTGTTTTGAATTTTTTTATTAAAATGAAGAAAACCATAAGACAAGTTGCTTGCTTTTGTTTACTCAATACATGCCTCTCTGGCACACTCATCCCTCTATTGCTTAACTGTTCAAGTTTAAATCAATTAACGACTTAAATTACAACATCACAATCTGATACCCACTGTGTGTGTTCTGAAGTTTTAAGTCAGTGGTTCTATGATAACCATGCTATAAAAAATAAAAATAAAGTCTCTTCAGTGAGAGTTAAGTCTGTAAATTACTTGTTAAATGGGGTGGGTTAAATACTGTAGAAAAAGAGAAGGAATATGTTTAAAAGTTAAAGTACCTCTGATAAAAATAAAGGACTGATTCTAAGGGCCTCCACTCGGAGTTTAAAAAAGGAGACCTTCAAAAATCCAGTTGGATACAATGGTGTATGCCCATAGTTCTACCTACTTTCGAAACTGAGGCAGGATTGTTGAGTTCAAGGCCAGTCTCAGCAATTTAGTGAGACCCTGTTGCCAAATAAGAAAAAAAAAAGAAAGTGGGCTAGGGATATAATTCAGTGGTATAGTGCCTCTAGGCTTAAACCCTATTATCAAACAAACAACTACCATAGCAAAAATGAGACAAATTTAGTAAACTGAGTCAGATGTCAGAAAAAATGTAGAGCTAGTAAATGTAGCTTACTAGATCAAGCTAGTATGGTCGTCCCTTCCATCCTGTCCTGTCCTGTCCCGTTCCACCCCTTTTCTCCCCTCCCCTCTCAACTCCTCTCCTTTGTCTTTTTGAGCCGGGGTCTTGCTATGCAGTTCAGGCTGGCCTTGAACTCACTTTGTAGCCCAGGCTGGCCCAAAACTCATGGGTAGTCCTCCTGTCTCAGCTTCCTTCGTGCTGGGACTACAGCATGGGCCACTACTCCTAGCTTCCTGGTTAATTTTTTTAGGCTAGTGTTTTACAACCTTCATGCTGCTCACAGAACAGCTGTAAAACTATTGTTGGGACAAGAGATTCAGCACTGGCTGGACTAGGTCATGCATAGAAAGGGAGCTGCCATTCTGTTGTCTATCTCTGAACCTTGGTCCTGTTTTGCTCTTCAGATGCCTTACATTCCAACCTTCTCTCCCTGACTTCATCATCCCAGGGGCTCTTACCAGGAAATAAAAGGAAGAGGGACTTAACTTCTGAGAAGGAGCAGATGGAATGCCGAATCAGCAGTAAATAATGAGTATGCTTTTGGCCCAGGGCAGAAGGCACAGATGTCAAAACACCACTGTACATTCTGCCTTCCTATCTTTATGCAAAAACATGTTTCACTTGACTTCCCACTGTAACTGCACTGATTCTAGTTATGAAGAGCTGCAAATTCTGGAGGGCTGAGGGAGGTACTGGAACTAGGTTACCTTTGCTGAGAACATCTCACTAAGAAATCCTTACAAAAGCTTGGTCTACATAGCTCAGTGGTACAGCACCTGCCTGGCAAAAAAAGAGGTCCTGAGTTCAATTCCCAGTACCACCCCCCCAAAAAAAATCTTGCAGAGAAATAACCAAGGATCCCCAGAGTCGTTTGCCTCACATGAATATGCCATATTCTAACACTGCATCCTGCATAAGAAATAAACAGTAACAGCCACTGTGTCAGACACTGGCTCAGGCTCCTTACATGAATCATCTCATGTATTATATCCTCAAGCAATCATGAGATAGAATTTTTTTTTTTTTCAGACAGGATCTCCCTCTGTAGCCCAGGCTGATCTTGTACTCACTATGTCACCCAGGCTGGTCACAATTCACAGGGATCCTCCTGCCTCAGCCTGCCAAATGCTGGGGATTATAGGTATGTGCCACCAAGTAGCTGTAATATAACTGTCATCTCCATTTTTGAGATAAAGAAACTGAGGCATGCCAGAGACTAAAGATACAACTAGGATTTGAATAAACTGCTATCTTAACAATGAAAGTATTATGCATCTTTATCTTTTAGACAAATGGGGAAAAGGATTAAATTACATTGTCTCCCTTGGGATTAAATTTAGAGGGCATTCTATTCTTGAGCTACATCTCTAGCCCTTTTTATTTTTTATTTTGAGACAAAATCTCACTAAGTGGTCTAGGTTGGCCTTGGACTTATGATCCTCCTGCCTCAGCCTCCTGAGCAGTTGACATTATAGGTATATATATCACCATTCCCCAGTTAAATGATAATATTTCAAAATGACTAATCTTCTTAGAAACCATTTAAAAATGAAAGGTCTTATATTAAACTTCCTCTTGATGTGAAGAATTAAAGTGAGGTTTCAGTGTGGTTCTTTAGAATTTTGGTAACTTCTAAACGCTAAAGATTTTTCAAAGATTGAATGTAAGCCTGAGGTGCAAAGGCCAACCTCTGTAACCAACTATCCTAAATTTGGGATTCTGTAATGTTAATTGCACAACTTTTTTTTTTTTCAAAGACCCAGCCCAGGACAGCACTCATTCACATCAGTCAATTGCATAATTTTATGCAATTTAATTAGTTTTTAAACAGTTACTAACAGCAGATAAAAGCAAAACCATATGATCTGCTAGCGCATACAACAAAAATGTAAATGATATATATCTTGCTTGTAAAAGATGTTTCAGTTTTTTTCACTTAATATGTTTTAATTATAAGGTAAGAATATGAACAAAACATTTAAAAATAATCTCAGTTATTGTAAGAGACAATTTGACCTCAAGAAAAGTTTAATTTTATGGAAAATTTAAGTTGGACAGTTTGTTCATATGGTTGTTAAGCCATGCTTAAAAAAGAATCTGGCATCTATGACCTCAACACTTGGGAGGCAGGATGATTACTGTAAGTTTGAGGCCAGACTGTATTACATAATGAGACCCTGTTTCAAACACATGGAACAAAAAAGCTCCCAAAACATAGCAGTAAAACTAGTTTCTATTTTGAGATAACTGTGCATAAAAACAAATAAAATCCTGAAGCAGAGTAGGTAAAAATGGCCTAAATGTCAATGCACTTTCCTTCACTGAGAAAGGAGACGGGGTGGAAGCTTCAGAACAGCACAGGGGTACGATGCTAACAGAGTCCTGCTCTAGGAGATGGAGTGACTTAACCTGAACACGAACCTTTAATGTCAAAGGGGCTGGTTGGAAAGTCACAGATGCAAGCATAATCTGAAAATGAGTTTCAGTCAGTTATTTTTAGAGAAGGAAGAAAATAAACCCCAAGTAACAAAAAGTATGAGTTTTTGTGTGTGTGTCAGCTATTCAGTGTAAAAAGTAAACAAGTAAATACTGTAACACATGAGTTAAGGGTTAAAATAAGAATCAAGACAGTTGTGTCATGCAGAGTAGAGAAGAGAGGGCTTATTCTACCTAAAAGCCAAGTGTGGGGGGGGGCAGCTATCAAACAGATGCACAATGTATTCTAAAGAACAAAAGGAAGTGTTTGCAAGGAGTAAAAGCTAAAAATAGCTCTATTGCTCACTAACTTCCCAAAAGTCAGTCAGTGGTTGCTCTGTAAGCCCTTTGGGGAACATCATTTAAATATTTTGTCAAATGAAGAGGACAAAGAATCTACAAAATTCAAAAGCTAAATTTCCTACAAACAGCTAATTCTGAAGACAAAGGAACACAGCCACCGCTGCGTGCATCTGCGCAGCCCGCAGGCAAGACCCAGCAGAGTTTGCACCTCACATGCAGAACACAGCAGCTGAGTTATCACTTATTACTGGTCATGGTGCTGCCCAGCATAAGTAAAATACAATCCAAAGAACCCTGTGAGGTGCTTTATAGTTTTCAATATGATCAGTCTGGAGGCGAGAAAAATTGTAGCTTATGGGCCATAATAACTATTAATGCTAATATACTTCCTACATAAAAAAACCTGAATATTGTTAAAAATAAAATGACTGGAACAAATCCAATTAACAAATAATTTTGCAGATTATAATTCAAAAGATTTTAGAGTATGTTTGCTGAAGGAACGGTCTTGACAATAAAGTCCTGAACAGTAACATAAACTTAGATGCTTGTTTCCTTAGAGGTTCTTCAGAGGAAAAAATGGTCTAAATGAGATTTTTATTATCTTTTAAATGGACAAAGGGATGCATAAAATATACTCCATTATAATGGACTTTTACAAAAAATGACTTGATGCTATAGAGACTGACTTATAAATTTACATACTGCACTCACTAATACAAACTGAAGTAAAAATGTCCTGTGAGTTTTGCTGTATTTTAAGGCCAAGTAGAACTGGGCATGGCAGCGCATGCCTGTAATCCCGGCACTTGGAGGCTCACATAGATGGGTCACTCAGTTTGAGGCCAGCCTGAGCCATAGCAAGATCTTATCTAATTAAAAAAAGCAGAAGTATTACAAGTTATTATCCCAATTAAGAAACTGGTTGCTTCTAATGGTGGTTCTTCTTACTTCTCCTTCTCTTCTTCCTCTTCTTCTACTCTTCTTCTTCTCCTTCTGCTTCCTCTCCTCTTCCTCCTCCTCCTTCTTGTTCTTATTATTATTTTGGGTTTTTGAGATAAGGTCTCACTTTGTAGTGTAGGCTGGCCTTAAATTCAAGGTAACCCTGATATAGCCTCTTGAGGGCTGGGATTAGAGGTCAGCACCCCCTTGCCCAGTGAAAGTAGTAATATTTTTTATGATAGCAAATTTCAATGAAAAAAAAAGTAAATTGCTGGAATTAAAACATGAGTTTTGTTTAGGAA